TGCGGAGCAAGCCGAGTTCCGTCGTGGTCGTGGCTGCATCGACCACCGCTTCACTTCTCGTCAATTGTTGGATCACCGTCACACATATTCTAGGCCCATGTTATTAGTGTTCCTCGACATCAAAGGCGTATTCGATTCGGTTGATCGATGTGCTCTTTGGGATTGTCTACTCCGAAAACGTGTGCCCGAGGAATTTGTAAATATTATCCAAGCATTATACGTGCGTAGCACGGGCAGAGTGAGGGCTTACGGCAAGCTGTCTTTGCCCTTCAGTAGCTCCAGCGGTGTGAGACAAGGATTTTTGCTGTCATATTTTCTTTTCAACTTCGCTATTGACGAAGTAATGGCAATCGCCTTCACAGGATACGAGTTAGAAGTTGTAGATCTGTTCCCATGTGAACGACTTGACATGGAGTATGCTGATGATATTTCCCTAATCTGTGACAGCTGCCAGACATGCCAGAATGTACTAGATAGTTTTGCACTGCCTGTCAGCAGCTTCAGGCTTTGTTTCGCACCATTGAAGTGCAAAGCCTTCCTCCAAGATTGGCAGGGATCGCCTCCTGCGCTGACCCTTGGTGGGGATCAGCTAGAAGTCGCTCAAAAATTCAACTACCTGGGAAGTTTTATCAGCAAGCTTGGGATCGAAGGCGAGATCACGAACCGTACAACAAAGGTTCGAAGTGCTTTTGCTAGTCTTCACCACCTATGTCGGCGGCGCGGCATCACTCTCGCCCTGCAAGGTAGAGTGTAAAATGCACTCGTACTTTGGACCTTACCGTACGGTTGCGAAACCAGACCCCTAAGATTGGCGGACTTGAAGAGACTAGTTACTTTTGACCGTCGGCGCCTTTTCAGTTTGGCTCACATATGGTGGGAACACCGCATGAGCAACGAGCGTGTTTGAGGCCTTGCTTATGGCATAGGAAAAGGAAACGAACCGCTCAGCACCGTCATTTCACGCGCCAGGCTCCGGTGTCTTGGCCACGTGTTGCGCATGTTAGCCCACCGGCTCCCGCCATGTGCGTTGTTTGCGCGCCGGGGTGTGGATGAAAGAAGAGGAGGGGCGACTAAACGATGACTTGGTCGAGGAGACTGAAGGCCCTCACATCGGAGCTGGCCTCGGTTGGTGCTTCATGGCCCCCTGGTTGGAGTTTACAAGACGATGAACACGTTTGGCTAGGAGCCGAACTCAGTAACGTTCCTGTTGTGAGATTGTGTACATCCTCACCCCTTTTAGCCTCCCCTCCAACCATGATTTTATTTTGCAGCATGGTATAACTTTACATCATAATTTTTTTGTTTGTCTAGGAGCCGGCTGCTGGCTTTCCGGAACGATGTGCATGCGTTGCTGGTAGCTCGGCTGGCATGCGGCTGTTGTATTTATTTGCTTTTTGATTTTATTTATTGTGGCACAGTAGCTGAGATGTTTTTACACCTTTAGCTTACTGTATAATGATGATGATGATGTGAGCTCTCTATTCTAAGTTCTTCAAGGACCTGGATATCTGTGTTTTGCTGTTCATAAATGATCTGCATTTGGCTTAACGCCAGAACGATTTTTGCCTCGTTGCGTGCGCTATCACTGTAATAAAATTCGCTGTGAACCTTTCCCGACCGACCGCTGGAAGCTTTTCAGTTGGGAATTTTCTAGATGTATTCTTAACTAGCGTGGATAAGAGACAGAAGCGCGGGACGATATACTTTGTTATTCGCCTCTTCAGGATATTCCACATGATATATATAGTCAAACAGTGGAGTAACCACGTAACTGCGATCTGATGATATGCTCGTAACTATTCTATCCGCCATGAGTTCTTCGTGGATGAGCACAACATCATGCATCGACAACCTCTTAGCAGTCCGAGATCTAGTGGGTCACGTGTTTGTACGGAGCTGGAAATTAACTCTTGCAAACAGGATTTAAACTGTGTGCCCATGTGTCACGTATGCAGCTGACTATTAATCGTGAAAGCAGGCGCACACATGGTTCGTTGACAACGACCTTGACATCCTTCCTTGTTTTATTGCTTTTTCGTTTCAGTATTTCTAGCCACTGTAGCGTAGGGAGCTTTCATTAAACGGTTCTGTTTCGTTTGTCGGTTACCGGTCATAATTAACGAATTGGTACACATAAAGGCCTCCCGCTATGAGAACTTGACTGTGGGACATTTTCAGCGCAAACTTTAGAACATGGTTCAGTCTATTGTCCATTTCCAAAGTAGCGTTTGACAGACGGTATATTACGGCCACAAGTATTTGCTCCTCTGACATCCTGTGCACCAAAGCAAATCATTGGCATGGATTTCAGTGAGATTAATAAGTTACATCAGAGGTTAGCTTCGCAAAAAAGAACTGCACAACAACTCACTCCAGTTCTATGGTATCGAACCAGAGAAGTACCGTTTATAGCTTGATTTCCGAATCACTCATTCCAAGACTAAACCAGCTGCCCGTAACCACGATGAGATCCTGCGGCCATGAGGTCTGGCGTTCTATAATTCCAGCTAAATTGACAAGTTGGCCTTGGTGCTAATGTAAAAACGGGATAAATTTTTAGATTATAGGAGTGCCATCGTGGATGTCAAATTCCTGTTCGGCTTCAATTTGAACCCTGCAGCAGTCGGCAGCTAATGGATGTTTTAGTGAGATGTTGGTTCTAGTATTTCAGTCAGGCTGAATGGCAGCACAGGTCACAATATTCACTCGTGATTCGTTCTGTGCTGTCAAATGCTGTGGGTGCCACTGCGTCTATCCCTCCTCAATACTGTGGATACAAAATTCTACTGTGGTTGCATTTTCACGCGAATTGCTAACCACTCGTGGCTATGCATTTGCTGTCTTTCCTGAATCTCGCTTGGCAACCTGGAGAGAAATTACAGCCAGATATCCAATAAGACTTCTGCCAATCTTTGTGAGTCTATCACCCATTTCATTATTTTTACTCCGCAGCACATGTAGTTAGAAGAATAATGAATTTTTGCCAAAGATTCAGTGAAAACATCGTTCAGACAAAGTGATTCGCGGATGTGGTCGGTGAGATTAGTGGGTGAGATTGTAATCTCTACATCTCAGGCTTGTGCCATGTGATGGTAACCTATGTCTGAAAGATGCAAAACGACGCCCGCTAATGTAGGGAGCAGTGTTTTAAATGGAAAATATTCAACGTTTTCCACTGTATATCCAGTTTCACTGACCGATGTGATCTGGTTTCAAGTCTAAACAAATATCTATCCTCATAGTAACTAGGTTTGGCAGACTGTTCACGCTACAAACTGAAATTTATTTCAATATGATATCAGTGGGAATGTTCCAGGTTGGGTTATTTGCGTTTAATTCGTAAATATACCCATAGCCTTCAATTCATTTGTGTTCGGCATGGTTTGTTTAATTAGTTTGATTAATGGTGTAGCATTTAGCAAGATAACGGTTGTGGGTAAATAACCTTTTGGTTTTGGGTACCGCATGCGCTGAGCATAAGTATCTGGCACATCCAGACAAGCGTTGGAGCGGCTGAGGAAGAACCGGTTATCCAACGTCCAGAAATTCTGTCGATCGGTGAGGCGATGGAGATTGACTGTGAGATGCGACCACGGCTGGAAATGGTGCGTATCGCTTTGCATCGCCTGGTTCGCTACACTTGGTTACACTACGACGCATGTGTGGCAATGTTCCCTCTAAGGTATCGGATAAAGCATCGGTTAGTCAGATCCGATACCCAGCCGACAGTCAAGCTGTTGGGACCAGTGTCAGGATTTGCGAGAAACCTCAGTGTATCCCTTCGGATGCGTACCACTACCGAGCCCCAATAAGGCGAACCGGCCGTCTGGTGCTTTTCCGGATAGGTAGTTGACTTAGCTGAATTGTCGGCTGATTGCGACGAACAAAACTGCTAATGTTTTCATAACGAGACTGTGGTTTCAAGCATCCGGCAAAATGTTATTATATGAAACGCATATCCTAATACTCTACCTAAGCATGTCACCTATTCAAGCGCATGGATTCTTCTGTACCAATTGATCTATGCCACTATAGACACAGTTTCTCTCATCAAAAGCAATATACGTATTATTATTATTATGTTATTATTATGGACCATGTACGTCTGATTCATACCCATTTCGTTTGGTAGATCACTAAATATCAGAATATCGCGCAGAACCTTCCGTTTGTTACAGGATCTAGGTTATTAGTTACGAGCAGCAAAGCGAAACTGAAATTATCGAAAATATGTTATTTGACCTTCGTTACGCTAAACAAAAATCTGATATTATTCCTAAAATCTGAGTTGCTTCTGCTTGTCTTAGTAACACAAAGGATTAATCTTACTCTTATGATTGGATCCAGTTTGAATATGACAACGACAGGAGCAATTTAAGTGTGGCCATTTGTCATATCTTTTGCGACTGAGGTTGTACGAATATGTTGAAAGATTTTGGGAACAACTGAGTGTCACATTTGTCTACAAAATGAGGCAGTGACTTGTACACAACTGCGAACTTTTTCCACTGCATTTAATGAGTGTGAAGTAATGTATAGTGGGAGCCGTTCCTCTAATACTTGTGGAAAGGTGGCTCTAGAAATCGGAACATTTACTTTAATCTTCCCGGTGTGATTAAAGGCGGTTGGCAGTGAGTCTGCTTTCCGGTTCATTTCGAGTTTCCTTTTCTAGTGTTGGAAGATGGTATGTGACATTTTGGTGACGATAGAACCTAGCATTTCCCAGGAAAATTTCACAAATTGGAGAACACTGTGTGCTTACTAATATTTACTGCGGGGCCAAGTGCTTTTGGTTTGAAAATTTCCATCCATTTGTCGATAACCTTGTGAATTCTGGAGTGCACGGTAGGATTGTTGTGTGATTTTATTCGTTCTAGTAATGTTTGAGGTTAGTAACCTGGCAATTTTGGATATTTTGTCTGTTTTGAACTTTACTGATTGCAGTTATTCCCCTATGGTTTATCGGATAACGAACAGCTCTATGGTTTTTTACAATTCAGCTTATTCGAAGGTGCCGCTTTGTAGATGGACTACCGATGAACGAGAACAGATTCAAGCAAGTGAATTCCAAAGTTAGTCGTTGCCCGAATTCTAGTGCTTTTATGCCGACTTGCTTATTTACAGAAAGAGAATATTCAATTCCTGACATTATTGTTTTCAGAAAACAAAGTTGACTCACAAAACTGCTCTAAAATTGACCACGATCTCATTACTTAGCCTTATATAATTTTGCATAATAATTATTTTTTTGGGTGCTCAGCAGCCGGCTGGTAGCTTACCGGAACGATGCCCAGCCGTTACCGGTAGCTCAGCCAGCTTTCACCAGTTGTTTTCTTTCTCTCTCCTTTTTTTCTTTGTATTGCGGCACAGTAGCTGAGGTGCTCGCCACCTCTAGCTAACGTGTATGATGATGATGATGATGACGTGTTTGTAGTTTATTACATCTCAAAGCAGGCCGTTTCACCTCTTTGAAGTACCAATTTCAATGTCTTTCAGCTGTTTGATTAAATGTCTCATCATCACCATACACAGCAGCAAACAGCCAGTTTAACTGATGCTTCGCTGCTATGTAACCACATTAACCCACGGAACGTAGAATAATAGGAGGGAGAGAACGGAGACTTATCGGAAGACCTTACTTCTCTAAGCAAACATTCATTCTAGCGGTGCCTACACCTTGTATCAACAACGTAGCGTCACAAACAGCTGCCTATTGTGCAAACATAACGCCGCATCACTGAGACTGTTTCCTTGCGGCCTCCACTGTTCCGCGTCATGATCAGCCATTAGCTTGCAGATAGCTCAGCACCATACACACTTTAAACGCGCAATCCGACTAGGATACGACAACAGTCGCATAAGTGCTGTCAACTGCCAGCCATGTCTTATAAATTATCGAGCTAAGCACAAGACGAATCACGTGGACTCCAGCCCCAAAGGGGAGAGCGACCAGTAGCACCCAGTTTGATCGTCAGTATCTTCCTTTTCCCCTGCTAAGTCAATTTTCGTCCACCTGGATCCTTGCCTCACCCTACATCTGGCAAAATAAAACGAGGCTGCTTTCAGTAAGCGGTGACCAGACATAAATAGTACTTACCAAAGCCAACGTAGCATACTCAGTATTATCTGTTGTTCGAAAGATAAGCCTGTTTACCACAGCCGAGCACGTGCCTACGCACATAATCGTTGGGGATACGCTGGTGGCAACCGACACTAGCAATGCTACGCAGACAACGATGATCAAAGACTTGTAAAGGCTTTAGATCCTCAGATCGAGAGAAGGGCCAAGTTTCAATACTGTTGTACAGGCCGGCTGTAACCTTGTAAACACGGCATTTCAGACAGAGGAAAACTCCTTTCTGTCGTCAATGATGTCGCAGATGTAAGAAGGCAATTCCGAATTTAGAAATAAGTGAACTGACTTCAGTTTTTTCGCGCCCACCGTTTTTTATACGGCTGCCAAGTTAAGTGAATACAGCAGCTACCTCGAGTTACTCCTTATCAAGGTCAAGCGGTCATCAAGTTACTGGTAGTCCTGCACCAGTAATTTACACTTTGAATGTGCGAGGCACATACCAAGTGATGGGACCACTCTAGAGGTTAACCGCTGTCGCCAACCTTGTTAAACAGCAAGACAATATTGTCCGCATACTCAAGATCAACTATCCTTTCACCAGGCATCACCCCAATACCTGCGTCGTGAAGCTCCACAAGTGAATATTCCCTGGTGAAGTGCACTACGAATTGTACCAAAATGGGGTAATTGGACAACCCCGACGAACGCCACTTGTTGACAGAAAGACATCCAATGAGTCGCCGTGGATCTTGACGCCGCTTGTCGTGTTTGAGTATAGAACAATTAAAATGTTCCCGCAATCCATAAAACATCGTTCCGCGCAAGTATCTCGAACAGAATGCAACGACTGACTGAATCTAAGTCACACTTGAAGTCGAGGAACACAACTCTTACCAGTCTGCGTGTACGCGTGGCGCTGCTCTAAAATCTGCCACAAAGTGAATATATGGTCTATACAGCACCTTCCAAGTCGGGGTCCTACCTGTTCTTCCCTGATCTGGGATTCCCGTTCCGCAGTGAGACGACGAACGAGAACTGATGCCAATAATCTTGTCGCTACTGAAAGTAGGCTAATAACCCTGTGGTTATCACAGTTGATGCGACTGCCCTTCTTGTATATTATCGGGATAGTCTCTTCCTTTCAGACCTGTTCGAAAAGGGAGGTCAGCATTATGCGGAAAACCTCACCTCCATTCTTAAATTTTGTAGGTGGGGGAATCTACTGTAGTTCGCGCCTGATATTCAGTCTGATTACACTGTGCTCAGAGCCGGCCGAGAATTTTTCTTCTCGATTCCAACTTGTTCACCGACTTCTCGGATATCCAGTGACTTGTGCGGTGACGATTGATAGTGCCACAAGCAGATGCTTCTGTGTCGTGCGTAGCAGTCGAGATATCATTCCACTGAGACTCAGTGTCATTAGAACATGAGAGAGAAAGTTCAGTGCGCACGGCATCTTGGTAGACTTGGCTGGACGAGCGCTGAGAGAATCACTCAGTTGCCAATCGAGGAAGCGTTTGGTGAGCCTCCCGGTAATTTTCATGGAAAAACGACGGCTTACCAAATCATGATCAGAGTTGATGAAAGTACTCCAGGACGAACGGCAATTCAGGATGGAACAACGCCACCTGTAAATCGTGGTTATATGAAGTTTGTGTTGGCGTCGCTGGTTAACTACAGAAGGATGCCAAGTGGCACTTCGGGGTCCACTGTGTCTAAAAGCGGTGCTACTAAGGAACAGTTGGTGCTCGTGGACAGTTGCAGCACAAGCATGCCGTTGTCCGTCCGTTCATGGTTGAGCCAATAACTAATATCTGGCTGAACTTTTTATATTTTAGACGACTCAGTCGCGCAAGCAAATTCCCAGCAGGAAGAACGAAATCGGAACTGGCAGCACCAAGCAGCAAATGATCGCTTCGTAGAGTCTTGTCGTCTCCTTCCAATGAAAAGCAGAAAAGTTTCAGTTTAGGCCTGGTGACTGTAAAGTTAAGCGAAGAAGTCGTGCAGTTGTCAATTTTAATCGAAGGCTTTGTCCGATTGAGGGATTAGTTTGAGGCACTTATCTCGTGATTCGTTATCGACGCGGAATCTTAATGCTTATGGCGGTTTGTACCGAAACTGGAACTGTAACTGATGAAACAACTGAGTACTGGGCGTTGCGTGTCATTTTCAGCCTTCCGAATGCTGCATTATGGCAAGTCCTCACTTCAGAGCGAATCGCGTTCCATGAACATATATTCTCGTTAAATTCATGCATGACTCAAGATTTGGGTAGTACGTAAATTCGCCGAGATTGAACAAAGGTTCCGACGTAATGTTGAAACAGTAAGCATGTTAAAGGCAATAAACGGTGGTCGGAACCGCTTCCAAATGTTTGTGTGTAGGTTGTTAATGTGAGCTGTAGGGCATTGCGTCCTGCATGTAGGTGTGGTACATTTTGATGGATCCGCTCATGATGGACACATACAAGTAGGATTTGTCCATTTTGGTGAGCCGTTGTATCGAAATATGCTTGGCGGAGGATTGAAATATATGACCCAAGCTGTTGATGATTATCGGATGACTCATAGTAATTAATACCCCAGGGAATTCCGAGCGCACTTTGCTCGTTATTGATAGCGATTAAATCCAGCTCGTTGTAAGTTGATGCGGCTCCGGAATGATTTGGGCACCTTTGTGACGGAGGCTGTTGTTCAGTTGCTTCACGAGATTGTTGTACCTTACAGCGAGCGTCTTAAGTTACTGTACAAGACTAAGAGATATACGAAAATGTTTCATTTTGTCTGCAAGCGCCTCGGTAGCGCAAATCTCTTGGATTTGAGGCGGTCGATAACACCTCTGATCGAAGTTGGGTTCCTTTGATATAGTGTTTGGGGAAAATACCCTCGGGGTTTCTTTTTCAGTTGAGAGACGCTGGCGTCGTAACTACCCCCGGACGCAAGGATCCGTCTACAGATTTTAGTAGTGCGTTCTTAGATGATTCCTTCACGTCATTTTGTTAAAGACAACGTGATTCCTAGTGATCACGGGTTTCATGACTTGGTGCTGGATGGTAGCCGCTGAAAGTTCCCCTATTGTAATTCGTAACCCAAACACACAAAGAATGCTTCAAATGGATCCCTTCAATCAATATTTGACCACTGTGGCAAGCTTTACACGCCGCGACAAATTGTCTTAAGCTAGAGTTATTGGCTGAAGTCCCATAAGTCCCGGGTTCCATTTGTCGTTTTCTCTACCTGATGCGATCAAATACGAGGTGTGTTCAAAAAGAAAGCAAACTTTTGCTATAACAACTTTATTGCTCACTGCACAAAATTTTAAGCACTTTTTGCAATGGCGCGCTGGTCTCTTGTTGCACTGTACTGAATCTCCACTATGATTTAGTAACGACATCCTTTCAACTTGGTTTCATGTTTTGGAAAACCGAAAAGTCTACAGGTGCTTGTTCTGGAGAATACGGTGGATGGGTGCACCTGAAGTCTGGTGTTTGCTAGATTGCTGCTGACAGCGAGAGATGCGTTGGCCGGCATGTTGTAATGATACAACATGCAATTGGTTTTCCCACGGTTCTTGCCTCTTCTTGCGCACAGCATCCCTCAAACGTAATCGTTCGTTGATGTGGTAGTTCGTCCAGGCTTGGCGTGTGCACCGATCGACATTCCGTCGTGTTCAGAAACATTATACCACACAAAGCACCGTGTGCGACTCTTGCAGTACGCTGCGTTAGGAAATCGTTATGTTACTTTAAAAGTTTCGCCATGTTTGTGTCAAACGTTCACACACAAGCGTTGTTCTTCAAGCACTTTCACTGTCTCTTTAGCACTAATACGATGAGCAGCTTATGCACTTTGCTCACTTCAACGGCTGTAGCTCTCCAACCAACAATTACAGCGAAATGCGGCAAATGGCAGTTTGTTGTCTAGGTAAGTCCCCACCTGCGCGCAGTAGCAGCACACCCCATTTGCCAGTTACCACACAATTTCTAAGGTTCGTTTTCTCTTTGTACACCCCTCGTAAGAGCGAAACTTATCGTGGAGTGTGGTGTTTTCCTACGGACAACATAAAATATATTCATGGAAAGCTTTAATCCTCAGCTACATGTTGGCACAACTGAGAGTTTCGTCCGCAGGGCCTATTCACTGATTTCACTAGTCAGCAGTAAGGCACTGGCTCTTATTGCTGGGGTGCGGGTTGTCCCACCAAAGAGCGAATTTGGTCTGCTTGGCTGAACTCGCCAACGGAAGTGTACATATATAATTGTGGTGACAGGCGATGACCTGTTTGTCACCCATTCTGTCATTCTGTTCGGCAGTCAGACAGGAGGTGAACCGCAGTGCGCCACATCCGCCAGTGTGCCACTTATGCGAGAGAAACGTGTTCGGTGGACTGGCGCTTCGTGATATCATCACGACACTAGAGACTAGATGTTTTTCACCCGCTAATATCAGGAGACGATCACCTGGTCCGCGTTGTGCATTTACGCAGCAGTGACCCGAGTCTGATTGTGACTGAGTTGATAATAATTGTGAAAAGAACATCTGGAGCGGTTAAGTAACATGTCGCGCATCACAAGTGACATAGTTGCAGCTACCCGCATCGATCCGTTTGTCACCAGAGAATCACACATGACCCACTAGGTCGGAATATTCTGGCTAGTAAAATAGCGATGGTTTATCATCCTCACGGAGTGTTCTAAAAGTGTTTCGCGTTGAACCCCACAGGCCACCTTGAAATTTCCCCCAAAAGCCAAGAACTACCGAGATTGTCATTGCGAAACTAGATAGCGGGTAAAGCAATCTGGACTGAGTCTACTAGATTAAGCACAGCATTCCCAGTTGAGCGTCAAGTTTGCATCGCGCATTCGCTAAAACAGAATGCGCTTCTAAGAACTCATCTTTAAGTTTCGAAAAGAAGATGCCAGCAACTGGAAATGCCGGATAGTACAGCATTTCTTGCGAAAATAACCTTGTCGCTACTCATGTTTCTCGGGAAACTGGATAGTTTAGATCTCTAAGTGCTACTTATGTAGAGCCTGGTATAAGTTCAGCAAATCACTTTTGTGTTCCCAGGCACCGTATCAAACCGGATCGGCTTTCTTAGCTATGTCGGTTCTGTAGGGGCTTACCCTGATTGACAAGATGGTCTCACATGTGGTAATCCTATCCTACAAAATGCTCCGAACCGTCAGTAAACCCAGCATCTTTCCCAATTAGTGTCGAATGACGCCATGGCGCCATTTTGAACAGTTAGTCGGATTTAATACCGGCATCCACTGAAAAAGTAGTGTACTGCATAGCTATTTAGCGAGTGTCGATGCTTGTCCAACTTCTACCCGGATCCAGCTTGAGTGCGATTTCAAAAATTTGGCTCAAGAGGAAGAGTAAGCAAGACGTTTGATAGTTATTCCCACTGTTGGGAAAGATTTGCAAGTAAAAGAGCATATTTCTTGTGACTGAAGCTGTGTTGTGGAGTTCTTTTAATGTAATAAGTTATCCCGAATGAATTGATTCGAATGGATAAACCTGGCACACCTTACCGTTAATGCGACATCTTATTAGTAACAGCTACTAAAATTGTGTCAGAATAAGTAACACTTGGCCCCATAATTACACAAACAGAACGAAAAAATTTTATTAGATCTACCTATTCATATATCCCGAAGAAGGTAGTTATTAAGAATGGACCAAAGAAATCCAATGTTTGGCAATACTTCGGCATGCATCTGGTGACTAGTCAACAGGAATAAAAAGTAAATACATTAATACATATATATATATATCTATATATTTGTGACTGACACCACCCGTGTCCAAATTATCTGCACACTGCAGCCTCCGTAGGACAACCAGAGGACTTCTGCACCTACATAGAAATTATGGGTGGTTTACTTCGAAACCACCATCTCAAAGCGACTGAGTCGCGGTGGGTCCTAAGTGTAAAAACTGCATCAGCCGCGGTTCTAGTGCTCTAAAGCCATCGTACAATTCAATGCTTTTGGGCAAACACCACCAAGTATACATTCAGTTACTTCAGCTCTTAGTGCCAATGATCGAATTTACCGAGGTTCACGTCATTGCAAATCACCGTCTACATTGTGGTTGCACGTTGTAATCCAGTATCGATATGTGGGCTTTAAAATGCCACCTGATGACAAGTGTTTATATTCAAGCTAATTTACAAATCTCACTCATCAAGCGTCAATTAGTTGGCAACTGGTCCGACTCTGATTTGGCTAGAGGAGCCATTACGAGCTATTGGTGGAAGTTAAGCTAGTCATCGCAACACTGCAACGTTCGGTGTACAATTTGTAATCATGGGAGCGAACTAGCTTAGTGGAAGCATTCTCACTTTCAGATATCACATATTTCTGATTTTTCTTTGCTTAAGCACAAGCAAAACAATGTCATTCTTGGTTGTGATTTTGTTAACCTTCTCACAACATCATCCATACAGGTCCTCTTGAATCTAGGAGTAAACCCTAACGTCCGCGATTGCAGGGAATTGACCCCACTGTATCACGCTGTCTCCTTGGACGTTCCCGTCGAATGCATTTCCATATTATTGTACGATCACGCCATCTTAGGAGTGACAGACGACAAGAATCGACAAGAAATCCATCAGGTATATCAGACGGGATTTTGATTAGATAATTTTTGCGCACTCATGACTTCTTATTTATTAATAATACTGATTATTTTTATTCTGTACTAAGGTGTTGGAAAAGCTTGTCTTGTTTCAACTCTGTTATATCCAAGCTAAATCAGTTATACCGGCCTTCGCCCTAACTTCATCTTTTTCCTTTATAGCCTTTGTCTACTAAACTCTACACGGGTTTGCTTAGTGAGTTATTGTATGTACACTTGTGGATTAAACACGAGTAGAGACAAGCGATATGAGTCTATCTCACTGTGTCTCACTGTAGCAGAGATTTAAGCTTAACTGTTTTATCAAGCAAGTGAATCAACCTGTTCATAGTACTGGACGTTTGTCTTAATTAACGGCGCCTTGGAGCACCAGTTGTATGTTGCCAGGTTGATACCCATCTCACTGGGGTAAACGGTAAATGTTCCGTTGTCTAAGGTAAGTTCTTACCTTCGTGTGGCCGGTGGTAACCGAAGAATTCACTTAGGTGCAGATGATTATTGGGCCTTGCTCACCCGAAGACCACTCCTCGACCGGTTTATAACGTTTGGTTTTTCACTTGTTCGCCGAGGTTGACATTTTCCTAGCAAACGTTTCGCTACCATAAGGGATGGTGTTGTCAGTGCGATTATAAGCAGGAAGCAATCATGCTGTTCCGAACATATTTGATATCATCAGGTAGAGGTTGAAGGTTTCGAACCCGGGACCAAACAGATGTTATCCGAAACTAACTCTTTTGGTCATTAGGTCACGACGGACAAGTTTTTCCACGAAGTTTAATGACTGATTGGTGGCTCATTTTGAAGCGATCGTTGTATGGATGGATTGTGAATTGCAGGCTCAATGCAGACTGCGATGTTGCTTGGACTATGTTGAGCAAGCACCCAGCTATTAGCTGTTGCTTTTATAAAAGCACGAGCTTCACGACCGGCTACGAACATGTTTCATTGCATTGAGTTTGTGCATCGCAATCTATTCACCCATTGGGTGATTTAATGTAGTTTTGCAATTAATCCAATTATTTGCTTCGATTCTACCCATAATTCATCCTGCCATGTAAGTGGACGGGGATAATTGGCGCAAGCGTATATGCAACTGTAATTATGTATGCAAGTGTAAAACGAATTCACTGGCGGGTCCCATTGGGCTGGATTTACCAAATGTAACCTTTATTGCCGAGTTTGCGAGCCTGCACAATATGTATATGAACTGGTTATTAAGTATTAATTAAATTGGAATGAATCAACGGAGTCAGAATCTGAGTAAAGAATTTTTTCGGTAATCCTCATCAGACTCAAACATTACATGATGACAAGGAAGTGCTAAATATGCCGGATGGGGCTGAGTATTGAACAGAATGTTTAATTTCAACAGGAACAAATCAATAAGCCACGGGGTTATTGAAAGTAGCAAGTATGTACAGGGGAATCACAGCCGAAGTTGTAGGCCACGGTAGAAGTAAAGGATATACAAACTGCTTTTGTACGCACAATTCTGGGTTGCGGAGGCTGATGTAGATAGCTTCCGCAATAGACAGAAAATACATCCGGAATCCGCGCGTGAAACGTTCAGGAACAGTATAGATAACTCTAAAATCATTTTCCGTCCCTGCGTGACTGCACTCTAGAAGGTGAGACAAAATGGAACTGTTACTGGACCTCGCTTCGCCTTTATAAAACCACTTTGGGATGTGTTCGCGAATCGTATGAGATAAGCGCCTCGTGGTACGACCCACGTATCGTGCACCACAAGAGCACGATTAAAGATAAATAAGCATTGATCGAGTCACCGGAGGCAGCCTGTCTTCCAAAGGTTTTGCGAATAAAGGCTTGTTGCGAAATACTATGCGTAGGCGAGCCGCGAAATAGGTCTTTTCAACAGCGTTTTTCAGGCTTTTGGACAGGGCATCAGCCGCACAGTTGCTTTTGAAAGGAATATGCACAATTCGTTCGTTCTTGGGCACGTTCATCCTCGGTGGTTTTATCTTGCCTTCTTTCAAATGTTTGAGGATGAATTTATCTGGATACTCATTCGCTCTTAGCGCGTCGCCGATCCTCTGCACTTCTTTGGTGATTGTGTCCGGTGTGTAAATTCTATGTGTCCGGAACGCAAGAGCGCGGACTAGATTTCGTTTGTACTGTATGGGTACCGCACAATAGAAGTTGATGTACTGTTCAGTCCAAGTTGGTTTTCCATACACCGCTCTGCTGCACGATCCATCGGCTTTTCTGATGATAGCAACGTCTGGGAACGGTAGTCGGTTTCTGTATTCATGCTCACATGTGAATTGTAGATTCTGATGGGCATCATTAAAAGTTTCCAACAGTTTTACAGTCTGCGCTTCCAATTTGCGGAGTATAAATGTGTCGTCTACATAACGTATATATCTCGACTTGGTTGATGTGCGTTCTTAATACGTTATGCTCCAATTTTGCCATAAAGACATCTGCTAGAAAGGGTCACAATGGTGAGCCCATGGCAACTCCATTAATTTGACGGTACATCTTCACGTTGAAAGTAAACTGCACGTTTAAGGTGTAGCTGAGCAACATTTTCTTCGGGAGGATCAGCATTCCCCGTGATTAATTAAATTGCCCAATTTTGCACCGCTCTATATAGTAGCCTGACTCATCGACGCCAAACATTAGCATTACAGCCTTTTTATAAAAGCGTAGCGAATTTTTTCCATTAAGTTATTGTGTCCTAAATCTAACAATAAATTTTGCAGTCGATCCAAAGACACTAGATGAACAGTGCCGAAACAGATAGACGATTGTTTCTCACTATGTAGTATGCTGTTTCCGTGCATTTGCATTATTTGGCTGAGTTATAGACATTGTTTTTGCGACCACTAATATTGCAAGTCAGCCATCCAGCCCATCTATAGCCATACGTAAATGGTTTATTTGAGTCATCTCTCACTCCAGCACTTTTATATCTTATACCGCAACAGGCCTGTTTATTTGACAAGCCTGCTCATTTGGAACAACTGATCTTGTATGGTGCAGATTTGAACGCACAAACCGCCAATTTAGATACTCCGTTGCACATATGTGCGCTCAACAATCACGAAACGTGTCTTCGACTCCTGCTTCGATACGGTGCGAACAGGGAGCACATGAATGCCTCCGGTCAGACACCATCTGAAGTGGCACTTCTGACGGGTCTGAATCACTTGGCAGAGCTTATTGACAACTTTGATCCAGCCCTGATTAGTAAGTTTTGTTTGCTCATAGTGGTAGATTATACAACGTATCCCCAACTAAACATTAATGCAAATCGTTCCCAAATTTTGTGTCGTTTGCCAAACATTGTATAAGTTACCAGCCGGTCCCGAAACTGGGTATTTTGACAATATAATTACCACTGTTTAAAAAAAAGTGGACTTCAAGTGGGATCTTTTTCAGTTAAGCTCCGCCACTAATGCAAAAAGAGCACGCGCAAAAAGTTAAGCCCTGCCACTAAGGCAAAAAGGGTACACCTGTAAAGTCAAGCCCCACCAATAGTGCAAAAAGGGCACGCGTGAAAAGTTGAGCCCCGTCACTGTTTGCCAGCTCGTGCCCCATAAAAACACTCCTTATCCGTTGCTAAGATCATTTTTGTCCAAAAGGTTTCTACGTTCGCACGTAAAACCTGACATGAACTTTCTGACGCTTTCGGCGGTCCTTCATGGTAAGGAAATAGCAATATGTTTTTTTGCAAAGCCCTGGAATGATTCATCATCAACGTTTATGCAGACGAGGACACCGAATGACACTTTCAACTGTTTCTGACAGGTGGAGGTGTGATGCCCGACAGTGTCGGCAAGAAATCGGTCTTCGAAAGGGAACTTGGCTGCAGCGGTCTGGGATGGATTTCAGGACAATAATCCTATTCATTTATTGCTGGTCCAAAAATCTGACAACAATCAAATTCTGCTCAGAAGAGTTATTTATTGGCTACGCGACCGCTGCCGACTGGAAGAACTTTCTGCGTGAAATTTGCGCCTGGCAGCTTTTGCAGACTCCAACGATTGTCGGCGGCCCAGGTCTACATGTCGAGATCGATGAAATCCTAAAATCACGTCGTAAAAACCATCCAGGGCGAGTCCTTCCCCAGCGGTGGATTTTCGGAGGGATTTGCCGGGAGACTAAAGAAGTGTTCTTGTATGCAGTGCCAGATCGAACTGCGGCCAATCTGCTGGACACAATCCAGGCCTGCATCGCTCCCGGCTCAATTATCATTTCCAATATGTGGGCATCATACCAAGGCATTGCATCGATGATTGGCATGATTTATACTCATCAAACGGTTAATCATATCGAAAACTTTGTGGATCCAACGACTGGAGCTCACACACAAACCATCGAATCTCTCTGGCATATTTACAAGATGCAGAATAAGCGCCAATGCGGCACACACCGATCTTTAATGGACAGCTACCTGTGTGAGTTCGTTTGGAGGCAAAGACAACGAAAAATGGATCTTTGCATGCAAATTATTAATGACTTGTCTCAATTTCACTATCTTCAATAGAGAGTAAAAGTTCAAGTTCCATATCCTCCCTTTTCATAATCTTTTTTGGGTGGCGGGGCTTAACTTTTTGGCGGGGTTTAACTGGAAAAGATCCTTTAAGTGTTCGGTTGAAATCAAAAACCATGTGTCTTAGCTGACAAAATTGGTTTCATTTCGGTGGATTCCAATAAAAAGGAATCCGAAGGGCCGCTAGCGGATACCACTTTCGAACGGATTGAATGCGCCCTCCTGAATGCTCCGGGGTTCCCATTATTTGTCTGACCAAATTCGTGCCTTATTTAAAGTAGCGAGTTAGCCAAAGCGGTTCAGCGCAATCAAGCGCTAATAGGGTAAAATTGGTAACTTTGACGGACGCATCATTATGCAATTGCATTATCAGTTTACCTAAACTTATCTTTACTCACTCGAGGTCAGTTGACATTGAACCAAATCGTCATTTATAGATCATTCTGAGTTGTATATAAAGATTCCTTTAAACTATTTTGATCTTAATTGCAAATGATCCTTTTACAATAAAGCTTAATAAGATACCTAATGACTATCGGTGTTAAATTTACATAAATCACCTTTAGTTATGCTGTCGTGTAAACTGTACAACAATATTTGAACTGTGAGTTAACAGCCGGACATTATTGCTGAAGCGCCCGTAAAATGAGGCGATGTAGTAACAATTATGTACCTAGGTCTTTCAATACACTCCCGCTCATTTATCAGACAAAAGCTGATTGGCCAAGCGCATTTTGAAAATGCTGTTTCTGTGACATTTTTTCTCATTTCACTAGTTCCTTGTGGATTTTAAAAACAAAAAACAGACAACTTGCATATATGTGTCGTCTAATTGAATTTGCGGTGGGTTTGGAATTTGTACTAGATTCTAGTCCAAAGTTACTTAGCACTAGTCATGTCGTGGTAAAACAGCACAAAACCAGTTAATAATATCCGTCATTCAACCACACCTATTGATTTTGTAGCGGCTGTTAAAATCAAAAGTGATCCTAAACAGCTCAACAAATCACCTTGGTATCTAATCGTTATTTTCATTGAGAGCCTTCCCGAAAAAAGCAAACTACTTTCCTTTTATGCGCTCTAACCAAAGCACAAATTCTAAGGATGTGCGTTCAAATTTTCTCATCCAACATCTCCGCTCTGCTAGCTCCTGTTGAAAGATCCCCAATCTACAATGCTGATAGACGACCGTCCGTCAGTGGGCCTCGAGCTGCCTTGGAAGCTCAACGGAAATATGACACACCCAGCAGTCACAGTCAGTCTCTGGGCAGGAGCGACTGCAAAGCACCGAACATGATTTCCTTGGGCGATCTTAATGCCTGGAATTCGGAGACACCAAAGTTTGATAGAAAGATAAAAAAGCCACCTGCGTCGGAAGTAAGGAGTGAGAGACAAAGTAAGAAAATATAAAACTACCGATGCACTATCTCGTGGTCTTTCCTAGCGTATGGTCAAGCTGAAAATGTCATCTTATGTTAAGCTAATAGTGAAAAAGTAATTTTGATTCATTTTCCCTAGTTGACTCACCCCTGTTCCACTTGGTCAGATAATCACTGCACATCTGACGTATCACATACAGCCATTGCATTCCTTCAAGGAATGTCAACAGTGAGCGTTCCATCTGCCCATCTGGAACTGGCGATCCCACTCCTGCGACCAAGGGGATGAGCGGCAGTCACTGTGACTGGAATAAGTAGGGTCGCTGGCCACGGCCCAAGTCTCGAAGGATTGGAAATGCAGTCCAGTGTTTCACCGGATTGCAGTGGTTTTGGACAAAAGTGGAACCGTTGCAAATCGAATCAGAAGTAATATCATATCTTACCCACCTGTGATTCAGTAACTTTTTCCATTCTACTCAGAATTGGATGCACATGGAGCACGGATGATCGTTTTGAGGATGTGTGTTTAGTTGATTCCTTTGCTTGCTACTCTCATTGTCAAAATATTTTACATAAGTTAAACATTTGACTCTACAAATCATTAGGCTGAGCAATCCGATGATTATTTGCATCTTTAGCGACATCTGTAAAGAAGAGTGCAATGCCTAGTAGCCAACCATAGACTGATTCACCAAACCCATTTTCCGAAGAATGTTATGCATTTTAATGGCAACAGCCTATAGGATAAGCATTGAGCCATTATGCGACATGGGCTATGATTAAATTAATTGTAAACTGGAAACCGTTACGCAATGAAAGGTTCTTCTGTTACTTTTTACATACTGTTTCTTCTTTTTGCACAACCTCAGTGAACACGTGCTTTACTTTTAACTCGACGCACAACCCCATGCAGTTCGTTCGCTTAGTCCAAATTCACACCATGTCTCCAAGTGCTTGTAACTGGCGGTATTCATTACTTTATGATCCCACACATGGCACCATCGAGAGTGAAGCGGGAAGTCTGCTCTTTATAGCTTTATCCTTATGTAGTTAGTTAACTTTTGCACTCCTTATTCCAGTGGTATCCTGTTGGCGATAATGGAGCTCGACGCGGCGAATAATCGCACTTACTACATGGGACGGGACGAAGACATCACAACTTGCGAGGTTAAATTAGTCTAGTCTGGGGTCCTTCAGATTGTATGCGACTTATTTTACCTTACATTGCAAACGTGATGCCCCAAACACATACATTAACCTCAGTAAGCACATGTTTGCTAGAGCCGACTGGCAAGTTGGGTCACGCCAATTGGCTCGCACGCGCAAACCGAGACGTTGTATACCGTGCCACTTAACGACTGTGTAAAGTCCACGACTACTCCAAAAATGTTCAGCAAAATCGTAAAACACCAAAGCACCGCACGATTTAATTTCGGACAGATTTCTCTGAATGTTGTCAAGTGTGTATTACAGATCACGTGCAATTATTGCACACATGACGAGTTCATACAGTTGAGATGGTAAAAGCACCAATTTCCCTACACGCATACCTGCACACCCACACATCATTTTGTCAATTCAGCTTATGTCTACTGGATTACTAGCAGGGTAAAGTCAATGTGACAGACGCGATCTTCTGTGCGCACAAACTAAGGTTGATCTGTTTGATGGTGGCCGCTTTAGCGTATCGCAAACATGTATATTTTGAGTTTGCCGCTGCATACCTCATGCCTCTTCACTGCAGTTGGGTTAAACAGACACACACCAAACCTAGATCTTAACCTGGGTAAATGTATTCTGTCGTATATCCTTGACAATTTTGCATTTTTAGTTCCCTACAAGTTTTGTATTGGATGTTTGATGTTCCCGGTGTGGATGCGCTTGATGGGTATATTGATAAGTTACCTACCTGTTGAAAAGCCACTACCACTATTATGCTGGCTCAGGAAGACTGTTAATCTTTGCTGGGAGATGCGATTCACAGTCCTGATAACTGCGTCGGGCGCAGTAAGTGGTTCCATGCAACCAGTGTGAAACCAGCTCCTGCGCAGCCACCGCTTTAAATTCTTCTTGCTCACATGCTTCACCATGTAGACAGACAAGGCTGCTGCTTCTGAGCATGTTGAAGGAGTGTGGCCAGGTTCAGTTGATTAATCCGCGCTCCCATTCACATTCCTCCAGGTCTTATTCTTTCGGGTTTGACACTGGATATGAGGTGTATGGATGAAGCTGTTTGTGATGCAGCGCAAGCCACTCATGGTTCTCCTTAGCCGCAGACGTCCTATGGCTGTTCCAATGGGCGCCACAGTGACAGGAAAATCCGGAACCGGATGCTGTCAACCAGATAACACGAAACATTCAGGTGGGGGCCATAAAATCTTTGTCTGTCACTAGGTGCTGGGCACTTGATGGTGCAGGTGTCTTGTACGACTGATTACTCTCTTTTCTTGGCTGCGCACCTGAGGTGTTGGACAGCGTCATGCTCGAAGCGTGATCCCGTATCCACGCTGGGATATTCTCCGCGATCCCCCACCGCAACTGGCGCTCTGTTATACCTATGTAAGAGGTCTTGCATTTACATGCATATAAAACTGTAAGCTGACCACTGAAGGGAATGGACCAAGGTGGTCAAGACGCAGAGTTTTGGATCCATAAGGTTTACATGATGAACGCTTAAGCGGTGAAAAACTTGTGTTACTTAAACAGGTGGTTACCTTCGCGTGTGAATGGCTGGGCAGAGGTAATGGCGACTTAACCGAGGGGGTGTGATTGAGCATCGTTGCATATGCAGTACGGATTGCGCCACTAGTTAAACTGGTGTTACCGCGGATTTCAAGCTTCTTTGAAATAGTTGGCCAACCTCATCTCTATTAAAAGGTAGATGCCATGTAACTTTAAGCTTTGACACTGTGGGCACCTTTATTTCTCTTTCTCCTTGCTGCAATGAGCGATGAAAGAAGTTGGATACCTGTTTTACGGTTTTATCAAAGAACCTCACCTGTTAACCTGGCCTGTCTGAGGTATTGATTTTTCTTGTTCCATCAAACAGAGTCTGCCTCAATACCTTAGGGACAAAACTATGGAAATTCACATACTGCCCCTCTACCACGCCGTATTAGACACCGGTCTACGTATTCATGCATCAGTTCTGCTTTTGACCATTTCACTAATGAACAGCATACTAGCGCTCTACTCTTGCTCTGTTTTGTCCCTGCTGTTTTGGAGCAATGTCTTTAATCTGCTGCTTAGATTGCTTAGCTGCTCCTTTCCGTCACTAGTGATTAAGATATCAGCTTCAACAGCCCGGATTGGTGAATTCCAACTTTTACTTGCTTTTTAGGTGGACAGTAGAAATATCCGCTAAAAGTTGTCGTAGTAGCGTAGCCGTTTCTACACCATCCACTTGTGGTTACTTTTATGTTGAAAATATCATTTTACATCTAAGGTGCTTACCCACGAAGGTTGTTTGATTTCAGACAGTGGAAGACTTAGTTCCACTTGGCTATCAGTCATATGGTTGTATTTAATCTGGATAGTCTTTTTCGGTGGTATCTTCGGGATGTAAGGAAAATGTATCGATGCTGACCAGGGAGTTCGTGCTCAGTTGAATACCACCCAGCTGTTTCACTAATTCGAACGTGAGTTTTGTGCTGTTTTTAATCCCTGTCTGCCTAGGTGGTTCCAGTATTGTCACCAGCCATAGAGCCAGCTTGTGTTGCGGTGAGTTGCTATGGAGAGTACCAACCTCAGTAGGACATCCACCCTGTGTAATTTTGGCAGCCCATAAAGTTGAGATATCTGTGTTCCCCTGGGTCTCTAGAAGTTTGCGGTTGCAGCAGTAATGAAGTTCCCTTCCAACGAATCTGCGATTCTGTTTATCCTTCTCTCTAGTTCTTCCGAGTCCTCAATGCCATCGTCCGATTCGAAATGCGTGCAGTCTCTATGTGACATCACTATCTTCTCCAACTAGATGAACTTGTTTAGCACCGCAGCGCCCGATCCATTGTCTGAGTGAAGGATGACTAGGTTTTCTTCAGAATTGTGCTGCTTTATGGCATTTAAATGGTTAGGCTGAAGTGGGATCTTTGTCTGGAAGTAGTAATTTGGTACTCATTATTCAGATCAACGAGTCTGGTTATCAGCTACTGCTAGCTATCCCCGGATGTTGACGTGAGGCTAGCAATTTGCAAAAAAGATAATTCGAGCTTCGCCTGAGGTTCGATCTTGTTAATAGTCTTCGGCGGAACATAAACTTCATTCGGAACACAGGACAGCGTTTCAAGTTGCAGTTGGGTTAAGTGAACAAATGATGGGTTGGTTGTGTAAATCGACGGAACAGAAAGTAGCGAACAAGATTGTTTACAAGGTATCATCATCAGGCGAATATACAACCACGACTAACTCGGTGAGTCGATGAAACAAAGTATCTGATCGATAGGGCCACCTGATTGGTCTGTTCTATGTGAAGTCGCTTGAAGTGGCGTGACCGCTGTTGTTACTCATGCTGGCCTTTGCCAAATTACTGTGTGGGTTTGGACGAGCATTTTTCTAATCACACTCGTCCTGGTTTTGGAGCGGAATTGTGAATGCCTTTGCTGTCAAAAACAGTCGACATCTGCTCGTGTGTAACGTCCGGGTACATAGTAGATTGGTGTGAATGAGTCATGCGAATTGATTTGGGGATCGGAGTCTACTAGGTGCGACAAGTCTACATTCGTTATCTCCTTTCTCACACCGTTGTAGAGCTAAGCTGGACAATGCTCTCCATCTCTTACAAACAGCCGCATAGTTGCTTTCCCAATACGCTTTGCTCGACACGAGCAAGCGAAGTTGTGTACACAGAAGCAAATCTGGGACACGAATATCCTGTCTTTGAGTTGTTGGCGCACAAACGGCGCAGATCGGCAGAAACTTACATTCTCGATGTTGCTATGGAATGCCCACGGTGGGGCTGTTCCGTTACCACGTCAAGCTAAAAACTAATGATAAATATGGATATTTGAAGGATGTTTGTGAG